GTTTGCCACAAACCAGGACGCCTGCATAGATTTTTGTTAGTGCATGATAAATTCTAATTTTGCAGTGAAAAAGATTTTAAAAAAATATCTGATTATGGCAGAACTTTAAACACATGTAGCACGTGATAATGTAAGAGCAGCTTTTGGTCAAAGGAATAACAGATGATCTGCAGATCCTCTGCTGACAGCTGTCCATCGCCACATGGAGATCCCTCAGATTAAGTCGATGATATTGATCTCTCTCTGTGACTTAGTCACTATGCAGCTTAAAAAATATTGTCACAACATTTTTTCTCATTTTGATCAGTATTGATCATTTTTACTGGGAATGCACCCATTGGATATTTGTACGGGATATTGGCCTGATGCTGACAACGTGCTGATCTGTTCAATTCAGTTCTATTTTTTTTTTCCCATTTAATTTATTTGTGCCTGATTGTTTTCTCAGTTCTCCAGCCTGTAGCTCAGAAGTCAATCTCAGAATGCTATGTTCCCTAAAGGGCATAACGAGGCGTGGCACACATGGCAAACCACGGCAGGAGAAGGACTCATCAAATAACTATTCCAATTATTTAGGATGATACATTTTTTGCCCTTAACTGTTTCTGTGATCATTATAATTTTTTTTTAAAACGATAATGTTTTATCTGATTATGCCATATTGTGTTGTATAATGAAAAGTCTTCCTAAATATAAAACATGACATTAGTACAGTTAAATCTGAGATCATAAAATACAGCTGTAGTTGCATCTATAACAAAGTTATTTATGATGCACTTGGGTTGTATTTAATCAGTGTTGCTCTAAAGTGACTGCTCCAAGGAGAGGATATGTTATTTAGTTAAGTGCATGTTGCCTCGACCCCTCTCTCCTTGTGTCTCTACCACGCCTCCTCCACTTGCATCTCTGGTGGGAGGCGCTAAGGCGAGAAGAGGAATTGAGGATGGGCGGTTTGGGAAATTGAAGCGGGTGGTTTATTGTTCTGTGTTTACTTTGCCGCATGACAGCAGCAGCTAGCAGGACAGCTAATGTAGCATGAAGGAAGCTAATGGCAAAGACGCAGCAACTGGGGAGTTATTCAGTGATTGAAGGACTTCAACGAGATGATGCTTTAGCTTCTCTCTCTCTCTCTTGCGCTAAGAGTAACATAAAGGTTTATTAGTCAGTGCAATCTCTTACCGTGTTTGTGTGAGAGAGAAGGTGCAGAAAAAGGAGAAACCTGCGTCTGCAAAAAACAATAGTAAGCATAAACCTATGGACTCTCCTTGATTTAAGAATTTGAGAGGATTAGTCCAAAAACTTAGGCATATTAAGTAAATTTGTCAAAAAAGTGTAATATTTTATATTGCCTTAAACTTAAAGGATGGATTTCAAGTGTATTAGTTGAATACTGTTATCAGATTTGTGCTCGATATCAGTAGTAATCAAACCGTCTGTGTTGGTTTGGAAATGGAAAAACTTGGATTGGTGCAGCAATTATAATTACTGCTTGCATTTGTTACTATGAATGATGCAGGAGCTGCGCTGATAATAATGTAAACATAATGTGTTTGTGTGGTGTCAGCTCACAACGGTGTTGTTGACTTCTGTAAGCTTAACAGAGAATTGGATGGTATTCTGCTTGGGTTTATAAAGATATCTATCTGTTGTTTGACGTTAGCATTGCAAAAGCCCAATATTAAAGAACTGTTCAGTTATTTTTTTTATTGTAAATAATACAGGTCTTTGCTTCTCTGGAACAAAAAAGGTTAATAAAAACAAACAAATGATGTATAAGCTCACTTAATTACATAAGATAGTTTATTTTTATAGTTTCAAGTTTTATTGTCATGTTTTCCAGTACAATGAAATTATTGCCTGTCAGGTGTTTATTGGCAGTGGGGTCGATTACTACCAGACCATACTCCATGATTTTAAATATCAATGTAACAACTACAAACCTGCTACAATTGGCATCAGTTTGGGTTTACGTTTATTGGACAAATTAACTGAAAGGAAGTTCAAGCAATATCATCTCCCCTTCTTCACCTACTTTCTCTACTTGTTAACAGGATAAAAGTAGGTCTGCTGTATCTGTGTTGAGACAAACTAATTAAAAAGTAACAAAGTTGAAGCCAACTGTGAATAATTGAATTCGGTTATATATACATAACCACAAAGTCTTAAAAGATGCAAGGCTATGGAAAAGGAATACCAAATGGGATGCTATAATTTAATAAGGAAAGTAATTTTTAAGGTTGTCAGACATCTCTCCTTAAGGTTAGCATAAAGACCCCACCTCCTAGACACAATCAGGCATTCACGTCAGCAGCCGAACTTTTCACCAGTCGGTGCCAGACTTGTCTAAATGTAAAAATAAAATAAGCTAGCTCCCAGCATTAATTAACTCATTCAGCCGCATTTGTTGCTTCATGTTTAATCCGCTGACATTAATGGTGTCAGTCTTATAAGTCAGTTTAACTTCAGTAAGAAAGAAAGCATCATCCACAAAATGCTTCTTTTTTTTTTTGTCCTATAATATATTCAGCATACATAGAGAAAATCGGGATTTGGAACTCCCTGTGCTTTGGTGTATGTTACACAGCTTTACTTTAGATGTTGCTTCTTTGAGGAAAAAGAGGGTTTTTTGACACACCAGAGCCTCTGCGGCAGTGAACTTGACATGTGTTCAATCAGAGAAGCAGTTTCCACTCTGGAATACAGAAAAACTCTTTCATTTTCTCTGCCCTCATTCTTCTTCCTGCCTCGGACGAACTGTTGTAGCACAGAGAGACTGAACTTCGTGTAGTTGTGACGGCTGGATTCACTTTGCTCCAGATAAAGTGTGATAAGAGCCAAAGCGACTAATTGGGGTCGACCATGCCTTTTCAAAATTGTGACATCTGGGCTTGTGAAATGTTCTAAGATGGTGATTAATGAGATGAATACTTATTTTATTATAAATCTGCGTGGCTTTAACAGGAAATGGATAATGAAGCACCTGGACCCCCCAAAAAACCCACAAACTGAGAGATTCTGTACTATTTTGGCTGAAGATAAGAGTATAAATGTGAAGTGAATAGTATAAATACAAAGGTGAGAAATATACAGAGGCCACATATAATGAGTTAAAGTTATTTTTAGTAGTTTCCATTTAGGGTGAGATTTTACTAGATTCTGCCAGGAGGAAGAGTGCATGAGAGGCTTGTTTGTGGCCTCAGACTCTTCTGTCCTATTTCATCTCTGACTAAAGTAATTATGCAGACTCAAATGTTTAAATGAGTACCATGTGGCAGCCTGTAATTAGATTTTTGGTAATGAATGGGTGAAATACCAGTTGCAGGCATTCAAGCACAGAACTTCCCTGTAAAGACGAGGTTTGACAGTGTAGCTTGACAAGGGACAGGGATGTGTCATTTAGACGCGTCGTTACTTAGAGGATGAAAAGACGGTTTGAACTTTGGTTTCCCGAAAGTTTCTTTTCTTAGAACTGACTTTGCTCATCACTCGAGAGACTGACAGAAGTTCTCATTATTCTGGGTCTAACAAAAAAATAATTGATGAATCAGCGCTACTCATTTGTAATATTACAGAAGTGAATTTTAAAAGAAAATACCAGTGAGAGTCCTCCACATTTTTTGTGCGCAAAGAAGAAAATTCAACACACCTAGGGTATCTTCTCGTTATCTAGATTTACGTCCCTTACTAATGTCATCAGCATACGCAGTCACGCGAAGCTGGTTATCAACTCATTAAGTTAACCTAGAGTTTCTTCTGTACATTCACATGCAAGGGATGGCATTGTCATCCTCTGACCAATCACAAACATGGATATATGTAAGGCAGTAAAGCGGCTGGTTTTCCAAAGGAAGTTAAAATTATACAGCTGCTGCAGTCAAAGCACAAGCAGGAGTGCGTTTATGAGTGGAAGAGCAGTATGGATAATATAGTATTTAAAGTGTGCGTTTTAAGTGCTTTGGTCAGTAAGACTGGAAAAGAGCTACTCTATTATTGAGGTTTTGGTTATGATTAAGGTTTTATTAAATTCATGTTTAAAGGATAGTTTTAGTTTTTATTCTTTCTGCTGCAGCCTCTGTGAGTGTAAAGATAAAAGAAAAACTAAATTCAGTTCAAATGTAGGCTTAGTCCATGTGCAATATGGGTGCAGGGACATGCAAAGACATTAGAAAATATTCAAAAACATTAAATCCTTGTGCCATCTGCGTACAGATTGTTTAAGGTATTCCCAGAATGCTAAGGCTGTTTTCCAGAGCATTGATTGGTCAGTAGGTGGTGATTTCATTCTTGTTGATCTTAAATCTGGAGTCTAGCCTGCTCCAGAGCAAATTGTATTTGCATGATATGTTATCATGGTGATGTACCCTGGTAAGAAAGGAATCACCTTCGCAGTAAAGAAAACCAAGCGTTAAGCCTGAAGTTACTTAGATAAGCTCAAATCCTGCTTTGTTGTTCAGACCTCTGGCAGCACTAGAAGCTCAAAAAACATTGATTAATCCATGCAACCAGTAAGCCCCAGTAAGGCTGTACAGTGGCAAAAGTCATAATCACAATTCCTGCTTATTTAAGTCACACACAGCTAGAGACTGGTTGCAGACCACCTGAGAACCACTGGTCTTAAGAGAAAAAAAAAAGTGGATTCCTCGATTGGTTGACGAACAGTTGCTAGCATTTGGTCACAAAGACGTATACAATTCCTTTGGTTGTAAGCAGATTACACTGGTTACCATTAATTTGCTTGGAAGACCCCAGCTTGTCTGCAAACACTTGCAAACCATTCACCAAGTCATAGTGAACCTATGAAAAGTGCAACACAAACCAGAAACAAGAGCATGTTTGTAAGTTTGTAAGTAAAACTTGTGCCAAATGTGCAATTTCACTTGTATTTTATTTATTTTTTTATTCCTATTTATTCTATTTATCCCCTTTGTATATTTTATTTATATATGTCTCTTTATTTATATATGTGTATATATATATAATATTCTGTAACTCTAACTTCTGTCGTTGCTGTGCTTTTTTGGAAACCGAATTTCCCAGAGGAACCCACCCGAGGGATTAATAAAGTTTTATCTTATCTTATCTGAAGTGTGTTGGTTGTAGCAGTATGGCACAGTTTTTACTTTAAAGGCAAACATTCTCTGGTGTCGGTGTATGTCACAATTTTCATAATTCAAATGCCGCTCAGAGAGTAAATTACAAGTGTTTGAAAACAAATATGTGACTTTCATGCAAACTACAGGTGACTGTGCAACCAATTTCATCCAGCAGCAGCCAACAACCTCCAGCAACCACTCTCCAGACAGTTTCAAAATATATATTTTTCCATAGAGATCGCAGGTTGCCAGATCTGACATGATTATTCTTCAAAGTCTTTTTAAAAGTTTTATAAATACATGGGCTTGGCATGAGCTTCAAATGCATTTCAAATGGAAAAACAAAGAAGTGCAATTAAAGACTCGCAGGTGGTTGCGGACAAAAGTTTGTCGTTTTGGGATTTGAGCCCAGACCGGCCTGTGATTTTTGGACAATGGAGCCTGTCTGGCACAGGCAACAAACTGACACCTCCATCACGCTGCTGAAAGCAGACCGGGTGAGAGACCTTTGGCAATCCGGAGGCAACTGACAGCAAATTATAGTTTATCTTTTATCTCTGTAGATGTAATTTTCTCCCTTAGCTTGTCTCCTCTCTGTCACAGTCAGATATTGTCTGCACTGTGGATAAAGCAATAACTGTGAAAAACCCAGTCAATTCTGTATGTCACAGTCAGTCTAAGCTTTTAGTTTCACAACAATTCTCGATACAAAACAATATCTGGGAAACTCTTTGTGCAAAGAGACCGCAGAAGGACGCTGGAGTATGTGAACCAATAGATGCTCTAGATAACACTCAGCTCCTAAGTAAATACAATTTTAACATAAAAAGCATGACCGTACTGTTGGGGAAGAGGAAATGCCAAAGGAAAATTGTCAAATACTGCTTTTCATACCACTTCAAGAAGAATTAGTTGCGCATCTCGCCTGAATTTTGCTCAGCAGGCACCTCATCTCATGCATCTGTTTGAATGTGGATTCAGTTTAACTTGAGCGCATTCACTTCTCCTTCCTGTCCTCTGTAGCAAACTCTAATTCTTTGTTGTATTTTTAAAATCTTTTTCTCTACATTAAATTGGACGTTATTTTGTCTGAGTTTGTGTACAAAGAGAGTCTGTCCAGCATCATGAATATGTGTTTTCAAAAAGCAATAAAACTGGAACCTTAATTAAAGGAAAGCGACAAAAACCAGCTTCATGTTTTTCTGCCAACTCTGCCCTTTGTTTTCAGGAAGGAGCAAAGTAACAAAGCTAACTAACCAGTTTTGGGAAACCGAAGAATACATGATTATATTTTTGCCTACTGTGCGAATTTCTGGCAGGAAAAAAAAGGCCAAATAAAAATTAAAGATGTCAGAGGATCTCTTTGGAAGCTTTTTGGAAGCTGAAACTCATTAGACAAAAAATGTGTGAGCTATTGTGTGGTGAAAAATGGAGGAGTCCTCTGTGTCTCTATGTCTGCTTTGACTTTAATTGGCTCTCACATTCGCAATTCTCACCACCACGGCGAGAGACTCTCCGTGCCTCACCCCTGCGGGGCAGCTCGTGCCACAGCAGTTAAACAGCAGAGGCTTCACTGACAGATTAGCACCTCCTGCAAAGGCAGAACGATTCATTTTGTTTATCGCTCTCCGAGCGCTAGGTCACCGAAGATGTTCGCAGATGTTGGTCTACATTACCGGTGTAGGGTCTTTCGATCATGTGGGTGATATTTGCATCTGTGCATGCATTTCATGTGAGATTTACTCTAGGTTGTCTCTTAAATGATAAATATGTGCACTCCAGAAAGGACACAGGACTTTTATTTATTTATTTATTTATTTATTTTTAAGGCTCGTGTGTAATCGTTGTCATACTGCAGGAGCTTTGGAGGTTGGAAGTTACCCAGGCCCATCTGTCATGAACTCATTCCTCCTCTCCCGCCCCTTCCCCGGTCATCACTCTCTGTCTCTTTCTGTTTATCTACATCTCTGTCTGTGTCTGTCTGCGCAAAATGGTATTCAGCAGAGTTATAAATACTCATGATTAGACCTAGTGATATTCGCTTGCAAACAAGAGGGCAGTTTAGTGTGGATTTTCTGTCTGCCTCTGTTTGTCTCCGTCTCTTTTAATGCACACACGGATATATAAAGGTCATCGCACCCATACATTATGTATGGAGTAGGAGGTGATCCACACGGAGGGCGAAATTAATTGCTCCTTCTCTGGGCGATCATCGCAGCGATACCCCTCATAGTGATAACGGCCTCATTGTCATTTCCTCAGCATTATTTGATAATGAAAGAGGGAAGAAATGAGCATCCACTGAACCGTTTTCAGTTCATAGAGCAGTGTGGAAAAGTATTTCATCCTTAAGTTGGTGTACAGTCAGAAATGTTTCTGCATGGTTTTTGGTGTGGAAGAGGTGCATATTCCAAAAAATAGCTTCTCTGTTTATGATATGTATGTTAAACACACTCAGTAACTGGTGGGGGTTTTTGTTTTGTTTTGTGTTTTTGATGAGAATACCTTGGTAAAATCACTGCAGTCTCTCTGCAACACAAACTGAAGATTGTAAAACTCATAAAGTAAGGATTTATTGCAGGAATCCTGCCAGTGAGAGGCAATTTTTTTCAACTGTAAGATCATCTTGGAGGGTGTCGCTTGTGGTGGTGTTGAACTGCGTTGCATAATTTAGCAGTGTTTAGCCTACCCCTACAGTGCTTTTCAACAGATTTAGATTGATTTGTGACAGTTGCGGTTGGTAAGAAATGTGTCCATGAGTGTGGCTCTCTTAAATGAAATATTAAGCAGAAATATTTTTGTTTCTCATCTTCAGATATTTTATTTGTCAAGTACTCTATGACAAACAAACAACAATATAATCAGTTCCAGATGAACTCCAGCTCCATTGTCTTGGATGAAGTTGATGGCTATCATTCTTGTCCTTGATCTGCAGCATCTGGGCTTTCATTGTGCTTAGTGTGATCCTCTGCTAGCAACAGACCTGTCTAAAACTGAGATAGAGTACATCTGACTACCGTATGAAATCAAACACAATGAATTAGGGGAAGCATCAGGGCTCACTTTGGGGTGAAAAAAGAATGTGAGGATTGTTTACTAGATTGTAGATGACAGGATAATAATGATGATGATGATGATGATGATGATTATAATAATAATAATAAAATATGTTAGACATTTCGCAAATATACCCCGGAATTTCACCCAAACCATTTGTGGAAAGACACTACTAATATAAAAGAGAAAAGTCTGATCATTTTTCATTTGCATGCACAGTATATGAGTAATGCCTTATGATATGCATTTGGAACATGAAGAAGTAATTAATAGGCTTTCATATATATATTATATAGTCTGGTATGTAAGATTGCTCAGGTTAAGCAGTTTGGAAACAAAGCCAAAGAAGAGAGGCTGAGATGGTTTGGACATGTGCAGAGGAGGGATGGTGGCATTATTAGGAAAGGATGCTGAATGTGAAGCTGCCAGGCAAGAGGAGAAAAGAACAACCACAGAGACAAGTCATGGATGTAGTAAAGGAGACATGCAGAGGGTTGGTGGGACAGAGGTGATAGGGTGAGATGGAGGCATTGTGGTGTCCCCTAAAGGGAAAAGCTGAAAGAAGAAGACGAAGATAATAGTCAGAGGTAGGTGGAGTATGAACTAGTTTGGGATCGGTGTGATTTTTATAATTGTTAAACCACATAAAGTTGCAACATCATTCACTGTTATGCGCTTATTCTGGAAGCATATTTACAACCACAAAATGAAACGGCAAACATCACAAATGAAATAAAATGAAATATTTCAAGCAAGGTTTAATGCTACTCATCAAGTAGCTTCAGCAATTTAAATAGGACCATCAATTGCTAGCTTTAATCAAGTACTCTTGTCTTGTCATAACTCCTATGAGTGCCTTACAGTTATTTCTGTAACATGCTAGTGATAAAAGTCCTTGAGATGCCTCTGTCAGCTGTCTGCAGATGAGCTGTGATCCATGGCTACAACAGCTGCTCCCCTCACACAGCCCTACCACTGTGCCTTTCCTGCAGCTGCCTCCACCTCCCCACCACCCCATCACCTCCACAGGGAATGCCATGCTTCGAACTCCTCGATGAAATTACAATTAATTATGGGAAAGGTAGTATGCAAGCGCAATGAGCCCAAAGCCCCTTAAGGAGAGAGTAATGCATCAGGGTAACCTGGAGTCCCAGCAGGCATTAAGCTTTTCTCAAGTGCAGAAGCGTGTTCTTCGAAGACCTGTTCTTACTGGCCCAGTAAGCTAGAACTGCGTACATTTAAATTAAGGTTTCGGTTTTGCCTAGTATTTAACTACAGCGGTATGTTAGCGATGCATTAAAGTGACAAGAAACACTGTTTGACCTTTTACATATGCTCCCCAGCTAGGAAAATAACAAGTAGTAAAATGAAATGCAAATATGATAAACTCGATTCCCCCCTCAGAGCTCTACTGTAAGGTAAGGTGTTTAGATCATTTTTACAATAAGTGGTCCCGGTCCTACAGTGCATATAAGCTTCACACTGCTGCAGTATGTGCTAAGTGGCTGAAACTAGAGAGATACTGTAGCCTACTGTATTGTGTGATGCATTGCAACTTTGTCCTTGAGCGGTGTTATTTTTGAACATTGTCTTTTAAGTATACTGCAAGCTGTGGAAACAACAGGCTCAGCTATTTCACGTCATTGACAGTGGTGTAACCGGGCGTTTTTTCTACAGGAGTGACCAGGTTTATTACTTATTCCTTTAATATAAGGATTCATAATGGAATAATAAGTAATTCATTGGATTTATACTTTTTTCATGAACTAGATTTGATTTTTAACATTTAACTGAATAAAAATCCCACATTGGAACATTTACTTGTGCAAAACTTGTGCAACGTAACTGCTAAACAACTTGTTTTCTTTAGATATGAAAAAAATAATCAAAACTGCTTTTGCAAGAGAATACAGGCAGTTAAATATTTCCTTCTGCCCTTGAATCTATGACTTCTTCTCGCTGTCTGTCAGACTCGTCATCTGCTGGCAGGAAAAAAAAACCCTCGCTCTCGACTTTGTTGCAGGATATGTCATTCCTCAGAAACTTCAGCTTTTACTCATTCACCAGCTGCTCCAGCAGCAGCCTTCCTCCGTGTCACCCCCCCACTCATAAGATGTGGTCCTTGAGTCGGACCGATTGTAGCCAAGTAAAAACCTGTTATAGCCGAATGTCACTGCTGTCTGTGTTCTGTGTTTCTTAAAGGAATTTCCGGACCGTCTCAAAAAGCACTGCCAGGTTGCAGAGACTGTTCAAACATTTATACAAGCTCTTGCCCTCAAATGCCAGCAGCACCCCCACTTCTTCATTCAGGCTCTGAGCCGAGCACCTGCTGCTGTCATTCTTTTCACCTCACATGAATACGTTTGTTAATTCCACACGATGAATTGCAGAATGTTTGCAAGCATCACAACATAGATTCTGTCCCACTTTTGTTTTGTTTTTTTAAGGTTTTGTTTCCTGATTTGTCTCAAGCTGTGAAATTGATCTGGATTAATATAAAAACCAGTCCTGCATCAAACCAGTTTTTATTCCTCTAAATCAAATTAACTCTCCTGGACTCCCACATTCTGTGTTATTCATAGGACTGACCAGCAATTTGCTGACTGAGTCGTTGGTTGCTCATTGCACACCATGTTGAGCAAGAGTGTTTTTTTTTTATCTGGGTCATCAGCTGTGCTTGAGCTTCTCCTTTCCCTTGAGAAGACTACAGAACTCCTGGTTTAACTGCATCAGAGGATTTCATCCTCTGAAAAATGAATGGATTGCATATCAAATGCATATTGATTTTCTACTTGAGTAATGTTATATTTGTACTATAATATACAGTGATTAGCCATCATAATGGAAAATCTATGTGAATAATTATGACATTTGCTGCCTGCGGCCATTCAGTTAGAGTTGCAAAGTGGCTTTGTGTAAGTGCACACCGTGATGCATAAGGTGAAGGCAAGGACAGGCATGCCGCTATCGCTGCGTTTCAGTGTTTTATGTGGCGCACTGTTACATCTCTTCTGCAAAAACCCACAAATGGAAATGGCTACAATAACAGCTCTTTAGGTGCTTCACACCAAACCAGCTTGCAGCTCAGCTGTAGGTAATGATGGCATTATCATTGATCCCCCACAAAGTAAGTCCACAGTGATCAATGCTCTCCCATGTGTTTTCCATGCAGACAGCAGTGAGATTAAGCCGCCTGTAGCAGGAGGCCAGACAGTCTGCAGATTAGAAAGTTACAACTGAAGGGACTGAGATTTGGTTTTATCTATGTGTGTGTTGCTCTGTCTCCCAGAAGCAGCTATAGGAAGAGTTTTAGGCCAGCATGTTTTTGGCTTTGGATTAGACCCAGTAGTAGTGTTTGCCAACATCTGCCTGCCATTACCCGGGTGACACTGGCAGTCATGCAGTGATTAATCGGACTGTTGTGATAGTTCCCGTTCGGTCACTCTGCACCTCAGGCACATCACTTAGCAGCAGGATGGGGGTCAGCGTTCACAGGGTCATATGTCCTGGGAGCTTTCTGTGTGTACCTTCCTAACTAAAGCAGAATGCAGGCCTTTAGTTACTGTGCAGGACTATCTCATATTAACCTGTCATGCTCTGCATTCCTGTGTGCAGTTCCACATTTGTAGCCTGCAATGTATCTATTGCACACTGATACCCCGAGACTAAAACGTGTAGAAAACTTAAATCAGTTACAGATGGTAAAGTTATTTTAATCATGTAAGTATGTGTGTTGCTGTATTACAGCTCTGATTTGCACTAGTTAATGAATGCTTTTGGCAATCTACGTTTGGTTATTAAATTATTGTTTTTAAATAACTATAAATATCTTTGACAAACGAAGCGATTAATGGTTCATAAAAACAAACAAAACATCACTGCTTGCTTTTATGTATTTAGTGTTTATCTGGTCGTTTCAGTGGTTTTTCAAGCAGAACCTTTTGAGATTTCACTCCTGGTGATGTGAAGATTTTCCCATTTGGGGTGGCTGTAGCTCAGAAGGTAAAACAGGTCATCTACTAATTGGAAGGTTGGTGGTTTGATCGCTGGCTGCTGCAGTCTGCATGCCAAAGTATCCTTGGGCAAAATAGTTTCTTCAAGTTTCTCTCTGATACATCCTTTGGAGTGTGAGTAAAGAAAAGAGATGAAGCGCTGCCATGTTTTTACAAATATTCTAAACAGGTGCTCATCAGTAGGGTGAAATGACTAAAAAACTTGCTGAGATTTAAAAATATCTAATAAAAAACTAGAAGCAAGGAACTGCACGACCTACGCGTATCGACTAAAAAGTCTTCATCAGGGAAAGATAGAAAGCACTTAGAAAATTGCTTGTATGAATGGGTGAATGAGGCATGTTGTATAGAGGTGGTTTGAGTGCTCAAGTAGAGTAGAAAAGCGCTCCAAAAGAACCAGTTCACTAAAACGTTGCAGACAAAATGGTTAGTTTATTCAAAATTGTTGGCAAAAAAACCTCGTTACTTTCCTGTGTTGTAAACCTATTTTTGAGGGATCAAAAGAAAAAGAAACCCCAAAACATTTACACAAAGCTGCACACAAGTTATGAAGAAAAGATGTCTTGTCATCACAAAAACAAATCTTTTACAGATTTCCCTTATTGATATTATGCAACGTTTTCAGACTTGCGGCTTTCAAACTTGCAGATCTATGGCGGTCATTCTAGGCAAGATGGGATCACATGCCTGTCGTGTGATTGGCCGGCCCTTTTCCTCATTCCTCTCCTTGACAGGCACGCTCACAGACAGATGCACAGCAGCTGTATTGCAGGATGCAGTTTTTCAGGGCGCAGTAATCTCTAAACATCAGAAATGCCAGCCACATGGATGCAGCAAGGCGAAGTGATCACTTGAAGCAGACAGAATGAAAAATGGCTTTTTCCCTCAGTTTGTTTTAAGATCTTATCTGCGTGCGCTGTGATCAAACCAGGCTGCAATGAAAGCGTTACATCCACAGATGTTTGAATCTACCAGTAGCCCGGGGAATAACATCCTTATCAAGAGGAGCTGTTATGTTGGAAAAAGGTAAACATCACCTGCATTCATCTGGTCTCTGCGACTGTGTCAGTCGGACCCGCTTTATCGAGGCTCGCTCTCAGTGTTGTGGGTTTGGTAACGTATTTGATAAGGTCTGTTTGGCGCTTGGCCTCTCGCTCGACATCCTCGGGGCTTGTGGTGTGATGGATTTGTGGCATGCTGCTTGTAGAAGGAAACAGTCTGTAGTGAAATTTAGATTATGCTTATGATGTAAGAGTCTTTAAGAGACATTCAGGGCTGTGGAAGAAGAGGTGCTGTGACTTTCAGAATTGCTGGTTTTGCCCTAGAGCTATCTTTTCCCAACATCTGCACACTGAAAATGCAGCTCCTGGGGT